AGCTGTGTTCCTGAGGTGGGATCTCTGCACCCACCACAGCTTCAGTAGAGGCTGGTAAAGAGCCTGCCCTGCTCCAGAGCTGCTGCCTGCCCTGGGGAGCTGGGGGACCCTGAGGTGGCACCAGAAGAGGTGAGGGGTGCTGAGCCCCCAGAGTGGGACAGGCTGGGCAGGGCAAAGCCCATTCACCTCCTCGCCTTGCCCACTGGGTCCCTGCTCAGTGCCACCCTGCCCTCAGTGCTGTGCACTCAGAGCAGCAGCAGCTCCAGGACAGCTGGGTTTGTTACAGGGGGCAAAGAGAGGAAGCAAGCAAGCACAACTTCAGCCTTGCATCTGAAACCTCAGACCATTCACAGTCTGTCACCCACAAACCCACCCGGGGAGCCAGTGCCGAGGCCACACGGAGCAGAAGTATGACACCCACTGGGGCTGCCAGCAACTCCAGCCACAGCAGCACGTGCTGGGTAGAGAGGCCTGCCCCTGCCGCTCGTGCACTGGGAGCTCAGCTCTGCCATATGCAGGTTTGCAGCTGTCTCTGGGGGCCACCACTGCAAGGTGAGGACTGGCCTCTGCCCCATGACTTTGGTGTAACTTTCTCTTAACAACACATGCAGACCTGCAAATAGGCCTGCAGGTCAGGACCATGGACACAGGATCTGACCCTCCTGCCCCTTGCAATGAATCACAGAATAGCAGACAGTGAGGGTGGAAGGGAGCTCAGGAAGTCACAACTAGTCCAGCCCCTGCTGCAAGCAGGACCAGCCCCAGCTACCTCATCCCAGACAAGGCTTTGTCTATCCGGGTCTTAGACACCTCCAAGGATGGAGACTGCACCACCACTCTGGGGAGCCTGGTCCAGTGCTTCACCACCCTCCTCGGGAGAAAGTTTTTCCTAATATCCAACCTCAACTTCCCTTGCTGCAGCTTCAGCCCATTGCTCCTTGTCCTGTCATCTGCCCCCACTGAGAACAGCCCAGCTCCATCCTCTTTGCAGCCCCCCTGCAGGGAGGTGAAGGCTGCTATTCAATCCCCCTCAGTCTTCTCTTCTGCAGACTCAATCAGCCCATTTCCCTCCTCCTCTCCTCACCAGTCCTGTGCCCCAGCTCTGAACCATTCCTGTTCCCCTCCGCTGGACTCTCTCCAATGTGTCCTCATCCTTTCTGCAGTGGGGGTCACAGCTGGACACAGGACTCCAGATGTGGCCTCCCCAGTGCTGAATGGAGGGGAGGAAACACTGCCCTTGACCTGCCGGCAGTGCTCCTACCAATGTAGCCCAGGATGCCAGTCACCTCTTGGCACTGAGGGCACACTACCAGCTCCTGTTCATCTTCTTGTCCCCTGTCCCCCCAGGTCCTATTCTGCAGACCTGCCGCTTAGCCAAGATAGTCAGCAGGTAGCGAGCTCTAGTTGCCCAAACATGGCAGAGGAGAGCTGCAGGTGTCTGGACTTGGCCAAGAGATAAGTAAAAAGGGCCATCGCAACAGAGAGAGAGGAGTTGGCACAAGGCTGGGGGCATCTCAGCTACAAATATAGGGGCTGCAAGACTCACCCTTTTGTAGTGACGTGGGGGGTGTCAGTGCACATAATCATCACTTGTTTTTGTCCAGGCAGTGTTGCCGAACTGGCCGGTGGCTACACAGACCCACTAGCCCCTGTCCTATAAGACAATCCATTTCTCAGGCCTTCGCCAGCAAACACAAATTTTAGTAGTTTTTTTCTGTATTACACCTGGGTTCCAGGAGGCTGGTTGCTGGCAACGGTCTCTGAGAGCACCCGACCCATGCAGCCTGAACCTGAAGACCCACAGGAGGCAGGAGGTCAGCCACAAACCCTCCCAACCCCCCCTGAGCACCTCAACAACAGCGTGACCCCAGCAGGGAGGGCAAGGCTTCAGGGGCCTGGTGCAGGATGGTCCCCGGGCTAGCAAGGCCATCACCTGATGCTGTGGCAGGGGGCAGTGGGTATGTCCCTGGCCCATGAAGAAGCAGGTGCTCCCGTGCCCCTTCCCCACCCACCCCCAGGTTCCAGCCCCCACATCCCCAGGAAGCTGCTCCAGGAGCATCTCAAAGTCTCCAGACATCAGGTCTTGAGTGTGATCACAGGAGGATGCCCAGGATTGGGCTTGCTGGTGTATTTCCAGGGGCCAACCTGTGGTCCAGGTGATAGAAGTGGCACAGACAGACTGTAGAAAGCAGGCAGCACAGCAGCAGACAGAGCAGGGAGCAGAAAGCAGAGCAGCAGAATAGGAGAGGAGTGCAGGGCATGGAGCAGAAAGCAGAGCAGGCAGGGAGCAAAAAGCAGAGCAGCAGACCAAGCAATGAGAGCTGAGCAGGGAGCATAAAGCAGAGCTGCAGGTCAGTCACGGAACAGAAAGCAGAACAGTAGACCCAAAGATGAGTGCAGGGTGGGGAGAAGCAGATCCAGTGAGGAGTGCAAGGTGTGGGGGTAGAAAGCAGAGCAGCAGATCAAGCCAGGAGTATAAAGCAAAGCAGAAAAATCAGAAGGGGGTGCAGAGTGGGGAGCAGAAAGCAGAGCTGCAGATCAGGAGAGGAATACAGGGCAGGGAGCAGAGCAAGTGATCAGGCAGGCAGCTGGGGAAGGGGATCCGAGTGGCATGGGGAACGCCACGGGGTTAACTCATGGGGCACTGGAGGAAAGCTTGGCCAGAAGGTCCCTGACAGGGGCTGTGTCATCTACATGTGCAATTAATGCGCAGCAATAAACTCTGACACATATTGCGCTGGAGTTTATTGCTCCTGGGCAGCACATTTGAACGTGCATCCGGGACCACAGCATGTTCAGCTGGTTGGAGCAGATCTGGCTGGCAGGGGGTTGGCCTGCCAGCCCAGGCCTGCTCTGACCCAGTTCAACATGCTGAGGAGGGGCTGGCAGGGGCACAAGGCTACTCCAGAGCAGGGCTAGCTGGACTTTACTCTGCTTTAACAGCCCTGCACATGTAGACACTGAGATGTTTACTGCAGAGTTAATTAGGCAACTCCACAGTAAGCGTCTTGTGTAGATGCATCCTGCATGTGCATGTGCATGTGTGCACACCCACACGCATACACACTCTGGATCAGATGGCAGCAGGCTTTTCTGGACCCCTATCATCCGTGTTCCCAATCACAGGAAAAACCACTTCATCACCTCGACAGAAGACCACCGGCATTAGGGCTATGTGAGTCACCACCACGGCAGCATGAGAACGATCTCGCAAGACTGAGCAAGCGGCATGTGTATTTCATAATTCCAGCAGTGACAGGCTGATGCCAATGAGATGCTGGTCATTGTTAGGAAGGGAATTATAAACAGAACTGAAAACATCACTATAGAAACATAGGAAAATAAGGCCTGAAGGGAGTCCTGTCTAGTCCAAACCCCTGCTCCAGGCAGGATCATCCTGGTCTAAACCATCCTAGACCAGGGTGTAATCTGCTCTTAAAAGCTTCCAAAGATGGAGATTTCACACCCTCTCCCGGTAACTTGTTTCAAAGCTTACCCAGCCTCAGAGTGAAAAAGTTCTTCCCAATATCGAGCCTGGCTTATTACAGGGGACAAGCAGCCAAATATGAGCCAACAGTGCACCCTTGCTGCCAAGAAGGCGAACGGCGTCCTAGGCTGCATTGGCAGGAGCGATGCCAGCAGATCGAGGGCAGTGATTCCTCCCTCTATTCTGCACTGGGGAAGCCACATCTGGAGTCCTGTGTCCAGCTGTGGGCCCCCAGTGCAGAAAGGATGTGGGCACATTGGAGAGAGTCCAGCAATGAAGATGGTTTGGGGGCTG